AACCAAGCCACTGTTTAAAAGAGAGGGAAATCACTGTTCATGCCGTTGCACGGGTAGGTGCCACTAGTAAATCAGCTACAGTGCTAGAAATCTGCTATAGGCCTATGTTGCAGTGCTGACTGCAGTGCTGACTCTCGTGTATGCTCTGTTGTGCTGGTAGATTGTATGCTCCCTCGTTTTACTGGTAGAACCTCTCTCTACACACTACACACCTCCTATCCTCAGTCTCCCACTGACTTTATTAATGTATTTATTTCCCTAGCGATCAGGCGTACCATAACGTGGCCTGAATGCAGAGTACGGATATCAGAGACACTGGATGACATTGACTCGTTCCACAGAGAGAGAACCGTGCTCTTCTTTCAGCACAGTGCTGTCCAAACAACTAGTCTTCACTCCCTTTAATAAAACTACCAGGGTCTGCCTGGAATATTGACACCTGTCTATGCAGGTGTCCTACAAGGCAAAGTCATGACCGTAAGATGAGGGGTGAAGACCATGGTTATGCAGAAAAGTGAGAATGGGTCTCTGTTCAGTTAAGTAGAGGTCAACATATTGATAATCTGAGTGATATTCTATCGATTCCCTGGGTCATTTCATGTTTTCATGTGTATCTGAGTTATCGTCTATCATAGATGTCAGATTTCAATACTGGCCGATGTCATAACTCGGGAGGATGTCTTCGCTCAAATGAGCCATTGATCATATTTTTTTATCATATCCAACCACGATAAATGTTTAATTTAACGGAGGGTCTAGCACATTTTTCCTATTTGCCTGCCTCTTTAGTCCAGGGTGCATTGCAGGGTGTAGTTGCCAGAGATATTAAAGAAAGGAGATAGGAATCCAATTAATGAAGGAACGTATAACGCCCCACCCAGCAGACTTTTCACCATTCGCGTTCACGTTGTCATGATATGTCAGGCAGCTGCTAAACTAATCGTCACACAATCCCTTCTCAAAGTCAGTGTATATGTCAAGAAATGTGCCTATTTTCCTCGAAAGTACGTAATGTCACGGTTCCAAAGCTATACGATACTACAGATAGCAAGTTAATTATCTCACATCTCTGAAAATATGTGTACTTCTTGTTGACAAAATGTGTGCTAATATTTGGTTTTCAAGCGCCCAATACACTCCCATTCACTCCTTGACGGAGAGCGCTCCTTGTCCCAGAATCGCCCAGAATGCACCGCGCGGCCCATTGACGTAGCATGGGCAACGTTTCCCTCAAAATGTCAGACTCCACTCTGTGAGGCACATTGATCTGTAGGTTGAACATGGTGCGATTGTAGACTCCTAAATTGATAGTGCAGTTTGTTTAGGCGATTTTACAGCTAACTAGCTACGTTACATGCTAATATTGTCTTTGGGATTATTGTGTGTAGCTACGTTTGCTAGCTAGCCAGCCAGCCCATAGAGAGAGCATTGCAATGTGGATTTTGTTGTCGACTTGAGCTGCAAGAGATTTCTACAACGATTTTCCATGTTGCTACCAACCTTATTATAACGCCAAAATGAAACGTTTGTTCACAAAACATATTCTTATCACATATTAGTGTTATTTAACACTGTAAATTAAAGGAATTAATGGTTTTAGGAGGATTTTTCCTTTAAATGAAATAAAATGTTATTGCTTAGGAGCTAGAAGCAGAGCTGCCACGTCTGTCGGCGCCATCTTGTCTTCATCTTCATTGTCTAAATCCATTGTCTAAATCCACATCAATTAGTGCAGATGAAGGGGGGAGACAGGTTAAAGAAGGATTTTGAAGCCTTGAAACAATTACGATTTTTTTTCTTTTTTTTTCTTTAACCTTTATTTAACTAGGCAGGTCAGTTAAGAACAAATTCTTATTTACAATGCCTCCTACCAAAAGGCAAAACACACATTACGACAAGAGAGACACCACAACACTACATAAAGAGAGACCTAAGACAACAACATAGCATGGCAGCAACACATGACAACACAGCATGGTAGCAACACCACATGACAACAACATGTCCCCTGTAGCTCAGATGGTAGAGCATGGCGCTTGCAACACCAGGGTTGTGGGTTCATTTCCCATAGGGGGCCAGTATGAAAATGTATGCACTCACTAACTGTAAGTTGCTCTGGATAAGAGCGTCTGCTAAATGACTAAAATGTAACATGGTAGCAACACAACATGATAGGAGCTCATAACATGGTACAAACATTATTGGGCACAGACAACATCACAAAGGCAAGAAGATAGACACAACAATACATCACACGAAGCAGCCACAACTGTCAGTAAGACATGGATTGTGTATGTGTGCCATTCTTTGGGTGGGCAGTAGGTGCCAGGTGCACTGATTTGTGTCAAGAGCTGCACTATGGGAAGCTTTGGAGTCAACATCAGCCAGCATCCCTGTGGAACGCTTTCGACACTGTCAGGTGTCAGTGTGCATCGGTAGGACGGAGTCAGGCGCATAACACAGAACTGAGTAATGGACAAACTTTATTCGAAAAACAACAAATCTAATCTCCAAGCAGGGAAATACATCAGCTCACAGCAGTATAAACACCAAACAAAGAACAATCACGCACAACACCATGAGGGAACCAGAGGGTTAAATATGGAAACAAATTAACGTGATGGGAACCAGGTGTGTACAATACAGACAAAACAAATGGAAAACAGAAACGTAGATCGGTGGCAGCTAGAAAGCCGGAAACGACGACGATAGCCACCTGCACAAGGAGAGGCACCAACTTCGGCGGAAGTCGTGACAGACACCTTGTAGAGTGTGTGGGGGGTAGGTGTCAATATTAGGAAGGTGTTCATAATAAAGATGTAGTCCCCTGTTTTGGGGACCTGCGTGGTTGTGGTACCGGTTCTGACCATCATCTTCGCTTAGAAATCGATCTGTGGAGACCATAGATTGAAATAGCTTGTATTGAGCCGTAGCCCTGATTCTCACAGACACAGGAGTATGTATCTTTTACCTGTGTGAAGCAGGATGTGAAACATTGTAGATTACAGTTAGTTACATTTAACTTAATGTTTTGTACACTCAGTGTATATTGAAAGCAAGTGCTTCCACACAGGTGTGGTTCCTGAGTTAATTAAGCAATTACATCCCATCATGCTTAGGGTCATGTATAAAAATGCCCTGTTGTCCATTATTTTGGCTACCATGGCTAGATGAAGGGATCTCAGTGACTTTGAAAGAGGGGTCTGAAAGGATCATAGGGGGTTCTCTCTGTGTGTGTGTGTGTGTGTGTGTGTGTGTGTGTGTGTGTCTCAGTCACCAAATCTCAACCCAAGCCTCAACCCAACCCTGTAGCCTGAGACAGTTTTCCACTAAGATTAACAAAACACCAAATGATGGAATTTCTCATGGAAGAATGATGTCCCTGTCAGAGCTGGCGTAGGGGTGGTGTGGAAATCAGATGCAGGATGCAGAAGTAGTCCAAAAATACTTTAATAAAGTCCACAGAATGAACGGCTACAAACAGAGCCGGAGGCACAAGAAAAATAACGCACTCAGCGTAATATACTAAACACGCACAATAGTGCGGACTCTCTACAGCAATAGAGCACAAACTCGACATGGAAACACCTGCTGACAAATGAACAACTACACACAACCACAAGACAGAAACAACGAGAACTTAAAGGACACATAATCAAGACAAAATGAGAAACAGGTGTACAAAACAGACCAAACCAAACGAACACAGAAACAACGAACGGTGGCAGCTAGTACTCCGGGGACGACGACCGCCGAAGCCTGCCCGAACAAGGAGAAGGAGCAGCCTCGGCAGAAACCGTGACAGTCCCTTCCCTCCAATAGAGTTCCAGACAATTGTAGAATCTATGCCAAGGCGCATTGCAGCTGTTCTGGCAGCTCGTGGTGGCCCAACGCCCTATTAAGACACGTTATTATGATGTTTCCTTTATTTTGGCCAGTTACCTGTATATGTATAATATCGACAGTGCATGAAGAATTGATCCTGTATGGTCTCCCCAGTGGGAATACAGATGGTGAACAGTAGCATAATGAGAATCCTCAGAACCTTTCTTATTCCAGCAGAACTCTGAAGTCTACGGGAATTCTCGGAATCAAACGTAGCACATCTAAGAGCGGGGATATCAAAACATGTCCGGCATTTCAAATGAACGGTTCCTTTCTTGAAAACCGGGAAAAGATGAAGGAAGCTCAAATTAATCTTTGACTGTCCTCCTTTGTGGAATTTAACCAGGTATTCAACACTTTTCCACGTTGGTTCAACGCAATTTCATTTCATTCACGTGGAAACAACATTGATTCAACCAGTGTGTGCCCAGTGGGTACCTTATCTCAAACTATCAGGTACACAACTGAAAAAGAGAAATAGATGGAAATAAAACATTTTCAACAATAACTGCATGTCACAAACAATCAAATTAAAACAAGCAGTGAAGAAAGAAAACAGCTAACTAATACTTTCTGGTGAGGTTACAAATAAGTAGAAAATGTATCTTTTGAATAATCTTGGCAGCAGCTAATGGGGAACACTAATAAATACAAAAATTGCCAAGTCCCAATGTCATCAGGACTGACACTGATCTAGAGACAGTGCCAAGAGGTTCAGTTCACCTAAATTCAGCTCAGCTCTGCAAAGTCAATGAGTTTAGGCATCTCCAGTCATGTCTGCCGCGGTTAGATAAGGACTTAAAGTGGCTCCATTGTTACCTTCAAAGTGACAGTCTAAGTTTAGCTCAAATATCTGCCTCTGGAGCAGCAGGCGTCACCCTCTATTTGATTACTTTTGTGTTGAAAGTCCCCATCAAGAGGATAAGACAACAACTCCTCTGCTTATTGCTATACGCAAAGTGCAGCTTTGATTCTATATTCAGGGAAGCCTGTGTTATCGCTCTCTGTGAAACCTGGCTGGATGAGCAGGTCTCTGACCAGGACATACACCTTGACGGCTTCAATGTGTTTCGGGCAGATAGAACTAAGGCGGGAAAAGACAGAGGAGGCGGTGTATGTACATCAATACCCGCTGGTGTAATTACATTAAAGTGCATGAGCGCATATGTAGTCCCAACATCGAGCTGCTCACTCTATCCATGCACCCATTCTATCTCCCATGCGAGTTTCCAGCTATCGTGATCACGTGTATACGTCCCACTTAGGGGCAATGACAATACGACTGCAATATAACCCACTCCATGATGAACTGCTACCCTTACGCACCGTCTTTATCATGGGTGACTTTAACAGCTGTAGGCTGAATGGCACTCTCCCCTCTTACCATCATACGTTGACATCCCAACTAGACTAGACAGATCCTTGGGATTTATGCTATGGTAATATCGAATCTGCCTTCACGGCGAAATCCTGGGCTCCTCTGGGCTCAGCATATCATAACGTGTATCTCATCCCTAAATACCGCCAGCTATTGAAAAGATTGAAGCCCACCACAGTAACCATCCAACAATGGACTGATGACACCACTGCCCAGCTCCAGGGTTCCTTCGCCTGTACGGACTAGGACGCACTCATGTCTGGTTCCAACAACAACATTGATGAAATGGTCACCACAATAACGGACTATATCAAGTTCTGTATACACTGTGTGATCCCCATGAGAACCACCAGGGTATTTCCGAACCATGGATTAATGACAAGATCAAAAACACATTACGCATGAATAAGATTGTGTTCTCCCATCGAGATATGCAGTCCCTACGTCAACTGAACAGCTCCCTCAAACATGCCATCCAACGAGCCAAACTAAGGTACAAGGACAAGGTGGAGGAGGAATCTAGCAACAAGAACGCTAAGCAGGCCTTTGAAAAAGTCAGGAAGTTGGCAGACTACTCTGACAAACCATCTCCACTGGCCCATGATGACCCATTCGCCTTTTCCAACGACCTAAACCACTCCTCACATTTTAATACTCACGATTTTAGTGAGGACTGTGAGCACCTGCTGGATGCCCTCCACTTCACTGACTCCCCTGCCCACTCTTCATTGAGGAGGAGGTGGCGCTACAGTTGCGGAAAGCTAAGTCCAAGGCAACGGGGCCGGGGCCAGACGGGATACCGGGTTGAGTCCTAAAAGCCCACTCTACTGAGCTCAGCCCCATCCTCCACAGGCTGTTTGATCTATCAGTATCCACTGGCACAATCCCCACCCTGTGGAAAACATCTACCATCGTCCCCATTCCCATAAGTCTCCCCCGACTGAGTTCAACCATTAACAACATGCTGCTATCACGTCACAGATTATGAAATGCTTGGAAAGACTGGTTCTTAACATCCTACATCCTACTGCTCACCATTCACTTGTATCTTGATCCCTACCAGTTTGCTTACAAAGCGGGGAGAGGAACGGATGACGCGGTTGAGGGAACTGGGAATTAAGCATGCATCCTGTTTGTGGATTTCAGCTCTGTTTTTAACACCATCCAATGGCACACTATGATCCAAAAGCTCAATAACCTGGACGTATCTCCCCCCATCATCCGCTGGATCCACAACTTTTTAAGTGGCAGAACTCAGGCCGTGAGGATAGATAACACCCTGTCCACTGAGTGCATATCCAACACAGGCGCGCTGTTCCTCTACACCCTGTATACCAATGACTGCCAAAGCATGGATCACAATACACTCCTTTTCAAGTACTCTGATGACACAGCCATCCTGTCCCTCCTGAATGACCCCCCCCCCCCCCCCCCCCCCCCCTGCCAAGCAATATCATTAATCAGTTACCCAATTCAGTAAATACTGTTGCAATAACTGCCTGGATATCAACGTCTCCAAAACAAAATAAATAACAATCGACTTCCGCAAATAAAACACCTGTGACGCTCCTCATCAACTGAGAAGCTGTCTAAATGGTTCCTTTATTCAAATATCTCGGAATAACAATAGACCTCAAGCTCACCTTTGAACAACATACCACTCAAATAACTAAGAAATCATCACCACTACTCATCTACATCTCATCTGTTACCACAATACGCTCACAACACAACAAACTCTTAAAGATCACACAAATGGCATCTAAACTGATTGGTCTCCCCGCTCCTCAACTCTCCCTTCTGAATGATCGTGCTATCCACCGCAAAGCCCGCCACCTAATCTCCAGCCCGGACCACCCACTTCACCTTTGCTTTGAACTACTCCCATTAGGTAGGAGATACCGGACAATGTTTCATCCCGGGGGCTAACCCCATAGTGAACAATTCCATGTCATGTATCCCATGGGCTAGGTACTATTTATGTTTGGCTGTTGTTTGTTTCTTCTTGTTTTCATATTTGTTCTATGTATTAATTTGTGAGCTGTGCCAAGATTTTCCTCTTGTAGGACAATAAACGTGATTCTGATTCTGAGATGCTGTTTTCTCTTTGTGCATTCCAAACGGAACCCTATTCCCTATATAACGCACTAACTTTGACCTGAGCTCGTACTACTATGTTGTTGGCAAATTATGGCCCTGTTTTGGTAGCAATGGTGTGGTGTGAAGTTATGTTTAGATGGTTTAAGTTGGATAAGTACATCTAAGTCCAATAGTGTTGCTGTTCATATGTTGAACTGATAATGACATGCGGTACAGTATATACGGTATAGCAAACAAAAGTCATATCATATGCCAAATATGTAGATTCCTTTGTCTACAATTACTGTATTCCATGACCATCCGTAGTGTCGGTTCTGCCATGCAGCTAGCCTCAGCCCTTTGCATCCCAAGTGGCACCCTATTCCTTTTGTAATGCACTACTTTTGACAAAAGCCCTATGGGTCCTGGTCAAAAGTAGTGCACTACATAGGAAATAGAGTGTCATTTGGGACATAGCCCTGTGTTACAGAGAGCAGTGAGTGGAGTGAGTCAGTGGTGCAGAAAGGTTATGGGCTGATGAGCAGCTCAGAGAACACAGCTCTCTGATTATAGCAGCTCTCCTATTGAACCCTGCTGCATCCCAAATGACACACTATTTCCTATACAGTGCACTACTTTTGACCAGGGTCCATAGGTGCACTATATAAGGAATAGGTGCCATTTGGGAAACAGACCCTGGCTTTGTGACAATCAAAGACACAATTAGTCTCAACAATACAAGGAGCCTCTTACCTGGTCTTTTACCTGCTCTCATCCCTGTCTCTAATTCAATTTAATAAAGCAGCAAATATGATAGCTATGCTGATTCCAGTCAGGCAGACAGATTCCCTGTTTCATTGTTTTCCTGTTGTAATTGAGTCACAGATGACTAAATGACTGTCCTCCTCTGAGCGTAATAGAGATACATGAGATTCTCTCTCTCCCTTCAATCTCTCTCTCTCCCCCTCTTCAATAGCTCTCTCTCTCTCCATATCTATCTCTCTCTCTCTCCTCATCTCCCTCTCTCTCCCCCTCTTCAATATCTCTCTCTCTCTCTCTCTCTCTCTCTCTCTCTCTCTCTCTCACTCACCTCTACCCTCTCTTACTGCCATAAGTCCACAGTTGGAGTAGCAAGATGGTTCAATGAAACACCACAGTTAGGGAATTGTTATTTTTCTGCATTCTTACCTAAGCCTCCTTTCTTGTCTTGTGGGTGGATAATACTTTGTTAGTGTAATTATATGTTCGGGAATGTTAGGTCATTTGCACGTCAATGCATTTTGTAGTACTTCATAGTAACACGTTTCATTATTTCCAACATTACTGACCTACTGTATAATACAATTCTTATTAAAGTGGTAAAAATTGTCTCTGTGTGCGAAATCTCTTACAATATAATAATTACGGTCCATTCCACTGGCTTAGTAAGCCGTCATCCGTATCGACTAAATGGGAGGATTTGAGTGTTATCAGTAATTTACTGTAATTAGTCTACTTTTAAGTCCTTTTTGTTCCCATGCTCCTCCTTCTCTTCCCTTCATCTCATATGTTGAAGGACTGACAGCCTCTAAGGTCAGTTCCCCCTACCTGAAATAGCCTCCCTTCTTTTGTTATACATATTGCAGTTCCACTGCATTGTTTGATGCAGAGTCTTTTATTCATGGATCTCTCAAAAATGCAAAAGAATGCCACAAAAATGCACCCAGAATCTTAATTCCTCTTCTTCCCTCATCCATCTGCAGTAGAGCAGGCAGAGTGGGGCATAACAGAACAGAACAGAGAGTAAAAGAAAAATAGAGGGAGAGAGGCTTCTAAACTCTGCCAAGGTCATTGATGAAAACAACAGGGAGCTGGGGATTGTCGGTATGTCTTGCGAGAATTAATAGATTGGCAGAAGGCAATTACCGGGAGGTCGCAGAGCCTCATGCACATGATAAACTGAGGAGCCGACAGAACACAACCTGTCCATATCCAAATGTCCATATCTGTCATCATAACTCCACTACCGCCGGCAGATTATTGAATGAGAGTAATTTGATGGGGAATATGTAATGATTAGTTAACAAACCTGCACGGTCAGTCTGTCAATTAGAATGGTGCTATTAGAATGTTCTCAAGGTATTTTTGTATCAAGTTGGCTACACATGACACACATGTGGGTGGATTTCTGCTTGTCATTTAGCTTCTAAGACTCATCCCCAAATGAGTGCAAAAGTGTTTCAATTTCACAGGTATAAAATGTCAGCTCATTCAGAATGTTCATTTCACAGCAGCAGCAGCAGCTATTTTCTCTAAAAGGCTGATCAGTCATCATTAGAGCACTCATCTCCCGGTCATTGACGAGTCCTGTCAATCTTGCATTGTGGAGGTGACGGCTGTTGTTGTTGAGCAGGCATACGTATAGCAGAGACCCATGTCCATCCCAAATGGCACCCTATACCAGACCACTATGTGCCCTGGTCCAAAGTAGTGCACTATAAAGGGAATAGGGTGCCATTTGGGACGCCAGCTCAGAGAAAAGTACAGTCAAGCTAAGGTTTGTCCTTCATAAAGACATGACAGGGCACTTTATAAGGGAATGAGGATGAGTGGATGATGCCAGGTTGATACTGGGCAAGATGGATGTGGTACATCTCCTTACCCAGGCAGAGCAGGGCACAATAATGCTGCCGCAGCAGACAACACAACACGCACACAGTGAGTCAAGTTTTCTGTCTCAGTTTGCATACAAAAAGGCCAGCCGGACCTCAGATTATAAATTGTACTGATTCCATTCTCTATCTATTCTACCATACATGAAACAGTTAACAAATATTCTTAATAAAACAGAGAGAGAAACTAAACGTGTCTGGGTAGAGATTGTGATGCATAGAATAGTAGCAGCAACCAATGACGTGTTAATGTTTGCCATCCATCTCGTTGCAGAGCTAAGCGTTAATTTCCCTCCCATTTGTCAGAAGTGGAACAATATGGGTACGGTTAGAGGGGATATAATAAATGACATGTATCAATAGCAGTCTGTAGAACCACGTGTGAAATTAATCTTGCTGTTCGTCCTTTGTGGACAAATTATCTTGCCCGGTGCCAAAAACACGTTGGCATGGCGCCCTCTGCTAAAGCCAAAGTCTGACTGCCATTTTAAATCCCTGTGTTTGTTTTTTTGATCCAGCCTTTCCAGGACTGGGACAACATGGTATCATTGGAATATGTCAAAAATAGTTACATTTAACCACAGTTGTTATATGTAAACCATATCTTACACGTTAGTTGTATGTCACCTGCAGTGACATGTTACTTATACTGTGTGTCACTATCCTTATGTATTTCATTTTGACACTGCTTGAGTTTGTTTGAAAAGGAAGTGTGGCTATATACTCTAAAATATTTCCCTGTACATTTACAGCATTATACTGTCACCACAGTGGCCATCTTAATACTGTAATTTTGCTTTACAGCAGAGATGCTGTAATATGTTTTACAGTACTATTTTCCTTACTGTAAAGACATATTACAGCATCCTTGCTGTAAATGTACAGGGATGCTGTAATGTTTTACAGTAAGGAAAATAGCACTGTAAAGCAAAATTACAGTATTAAGCTGGTAACTCTTGTGCCAGGATAATGCTGAAAATGTACAGTGAACTTCTACCTGAAATCTAAATGTAAGAAAAACAATACATTTGTACATAAAATAAATGTATTCAAATTGGTAACAATATTAAAAACAAATTAACAAC